CATGCTTGCATGCTAAGTCTCTTTATTTCAGGTGGTGGGTTTTCGGTTCTCTCCTAATGCCTTTCTTTCTCATATAAATGTCTAGTGGGCCATGAGCTAGGTCCTTTGGGGCCACTACAGAAGCGACGACGGGTCCTGCAGATAACTACGACGAGCCGGCGCAGCGTTTGTAGGCACGCTGAATTCGATTTACTAATCGCATGCTTGCATGCTAAGTCTCTTTATTTCAGGTGGTGGGTTTTCGGTTCCCTCCTAATGCCTTTCTTTCTTTCTCATATAAATGTCTAGTGGATAAATGTCTAGTGGGCAATGCGCTGTGCCATTTGGGGCCACTACAGAAGTGACGACGGGTCCTGCAGAGAATTACGACGAGCCGGCGCAGCGTTTGTAGGCACGCTGATTTCGATTTACTAACCGCGTGCATGCATGCTAAGTCTCTCTATTTCAGGTGGTGGGTTTACAGTTTGTGCCTAATGCTTTCCATTCTCATATGAATATCTCCATGTACTCTATTCCATTAACTTGCACACATAGCTTCAGCCAATTGTATTCGATTTCCATAACATCTTTGTGTTCGTGGCATTCCGTGAACTATACTTCCTGACCGCGTGCACTTAGCTAGGATTTGTTTGTAAACAACTTATTACGTATGCTATTTAATTAAGGTTTATGTCACCGTTTCCTTATGCATTAATCGAGTTTTTCTCTTCCTCTTTCTCTCTCTTTCAAGTTTTTGGCTGTTGTTTGATATCCCCGGTGTGGCTGCGCTTGATGTGCATGTTGACAAGGTGCCTACCTGTCTATTACCCACTACCTCGTCCATACTGGCTCCAGGAGACAGTTGGTCGTTGCTGGAGGGGACGGGGTGCACGGTTCTTGTGGCCGTGTTAGGCTCGAAGAGTGGTTCCATGCACTCAGTATGGAGCGGACTACGGTCCAGCCACCGCCTTGTGTGCGGTTGATTCCCCAAATACAGCGTGCTTGTGTTTGCCTGTGAAGGAGTGTGGGCCGGCTCCGTTGATGAAACGTGGTTCCCATCCGCATGCCTCCCGGTCTTATTCCTTCGGGTTTACACTGGATATGGGGTATGTGGTTGGAGCTGTGGGTGGTGCAGCGCAAGCCATCCATGGTCCCTCTGTAGGCGCAGGCGTCCTGTGGCTTGCCACAGTGACAGGCAAATCCGAAACCGGATGCCGCCAACCATGTATGTATGTGTGCCCCATGCTGAGGCTGATGTTGCATTCTTGATGCTTCTTCACCGCAGTTGGGCTAAACCAACTTACACTTAAACTAGGTCTTTTTCAGCTGGATAAATTTCATTCCGCTTTATTTGGTTTGTTCTGCCTCCCTGAATAATGTTCTATTAACTGGCCACGTTGCTTACACTAATTGCGCTTATCTTCGGTAATTTTGTTGCGTTTGTAGCATTTTAAGTAACTTGTGGACATTTCTTACTTATCACGGATTTGTTGCTGACCAACTTACTTCATATGGTAATTTAGCGAAGAGTTATGCCACCGTATCTGTATGCATTATTGGATTTATTTTATTTCAGCTTGTCGTTTAAATTGAATGGCTGTTGTTTGATATCCCTGGTATGGTTGCGCTTGATGTGTATGTTGACAAGGTGCCTACCTGTCTATTACCCACTACATCGTTCATACTGGCTCCAGGAGACAGTTGGTCGTTGCTGGAGGGGACGGGGTGCACGGTTCTTGTGGCCGTGCTAGGCTCAAAGAGCGGTTCCATGCACTCAGTGTGGAGCGGACTACGGTCCAGCCACCGCCTTGTGTGCGGTTGATTCCCCAAATACAGCGTGCTTGTGTTTGCCTGTGAAGGAGTGTGGGCCGGCTCCGTTGATGAAACGTGGTTCCCATCCGCATGCCTCCCGGTCTTATTCCTTCGGGTTTACACTGGATATGGGGTATGTGGTTGGAGCTGTGGGTGGTGCAGCGCAAGCCATCCATGGTCCCTCTGTAGGCGCAGGCGTCCTGTGGCTTGCCACAGTGACAGGCAAATCCGAAACCGGATGCCGCCAACCATATATCAATCTGTGGTACAGATATTGTGCCATCAGAATCACGGTGGAAGAAGAAAACAGGGTACGAATAGGAGGAAAAAGAACATGCAGTATTTTTCAGTGGTTTTTCACGCCCAGTTTCTGAGTATTTTTATTGTTTGTTATATTAGGGAAGGGAAATCATCGCAACACGCAGAGATACACGTCCGCCATTGACGTCGGTCCTGAGCCATGACTTATAAGATCTCCAACCAGCGACACTCTGTGTCTCTGAAATCTCAACCAAGGAGTCGAGAACAACCGACGGAGGCCAACTGTTTCGTCAGCTTATTCATGTGGTTTCTCCATGTTGTAGGCTGTCCACCGCACCGTCTTCTCCAGTCCAGCCTAGCAAGCACGAACAACGCCCGACACGTAAGACGATGAGCGGGCATGCGCAGTACGTGTCCAAGCCACCGCAGCTGACGCAGCGGGACGAGCTCCTCGAGCGAGTGGCTGCATTCACCCAAGACACGCTGTCTAACTTCTACATTGGGTACATAGTGCAACCACCACACACGGGCAATGGACCGCAAGCAACGGTGCTCGAAGACAGAGAGGCGGCGCAGGTCAACGATACGAACAGACCAAGTCTCGCAACCGTAGCGTACAGCGTGGATGCCAGCGCTCAAGGAACTAAACAGAGCATTCTTTAGGAGATCCTCAATGGCAAAATTGAAAAGGAATGAAGAAATAGGGCATCCTTGTCGAACTCCACTGGTGACAACAAAGGAGAGCGAAAGCTTGTCACAAGCCCTAACTCTACCCGAGGCAAGGCTATACAGTGCAAGCAGTACGGAAACGAACTTCCCGAGGACGCTATTCCTCAACAAACAGCTCTACAAAGTAGTGTACGGATACCCAATAAGTCATTGCCAAGGTGAGGATAGAAGGTCAAATAATGGAGTTACACTGTGGAGTTTGTCTAAGAGAGAAAAGGCGGTTTGTGTAATTCAGACGATAAAAGTGAGTTAAGGGAATGTATGTCACAGAGTTTGCGGTACGACAGCTAATAACAGGGTTTTGCGCGTCAAATCATTGCATGCTCAAAAGAGTATCGGTTTTCAACTACTTCATTTGCAAGCACTTTTCTCAAGGTCACGCTTCCATCAGTCTGCGAGTAACATTACTGTTACGGTGATCGGTTTTCGCCCGTTGACCGCATGTTGCAAACCTAGTTGTGAGTTCTGTCTTGTACGTTATTTTACCCATTAGAACCACGATTATATTCCATATTCTGCTGTCCTAAACGTTTTCTGCTCAGACCGCGCTTATAGCCCAGGTTTATAGCTCGAAGTAGCATTAATTACGTACTTCTCATGCTGCGTTATTCGATTTAGGGTAGTTCCATTGTTATAGGTGTTGTTGTCACAGGTGCTAAATAATAAGCAGTCACACACGAATTAGGCGAGAACGTGATTTTGTATGACCGAGCTGAGTTGGATAGGTCACTGTTTCCTGTGCGATAGCGGCCTATCTGAATTTTAATTCCGAAAGAGTGCAAAAGGATCCGGTGGATCAAGCATCGCGCCCTCTGTGGCTGTAACTAGATTTCTGTCAGAAGTATCTTTCACACTGGAGATGGTAAAAAGGTGCTGAAGGCTTAGCAATTGCCCTTTTTGGCTTGGGATAGGAGATATACAGAGGCAGTGATGTGGTGAAGCAACCCCCGGACGAGTTCTTCTACACGTAGGTGGGATGCGGTGGCATGTCCGATGACTGCCGGGACGGCTAACAAGTCGGCCCATCAGATGTGGACGGGATCCAGATACTCGGCGTCACTCAGATGACAATACAGCAAAACGAAATTATGCGATTGAGTGGGAAAAGGGATAAAAACGACATTTGAAATGAGCGGACAGGATGGCAAGGGACAAAGAAGATGCATGAGTGTCGATTGCCCCATGCGTGTAACATGTTGGTCGTGCGAAACGTGGGGCGTAGCCATGAAAATGGTCGACCACGCGAACTCCGTCCAAATACTTTTCACCGGATAATAACGATGATGTATCCTATAAGCTGTATTTGTGAGTCATGAACAAGTGGGCTGAAGAACATGACGTAGAATTGTTGCGGGCCCGTCCAATATCCCCGCAAAAAACGCGCCAGAAAGTCCGGCATAATGGCTGAGGAAAACGGGTCCAATTCCTCCGCACAACGTAGCAGTGATCAGCCACTCCGAGACGCGGCCCAACTGTGCATCCGTTGACAATGTTCTTTTACAAACTACCAACCCGTCGTGATAACAATTTCTCCTAACTTAATGATCCATTGCATTGGCTGTGATTCGCCCTTTGTTGGTCGTAAAAGAGCCTTCGGAGGACCACTTGCCTTTCTTCCTCTTCGCCGTAGTTCGGAATCGATCGGGTCACGTGATTTTGTGTGCGTCGTTAGCCGAGCAGCGTTTGCGTCTAAGACATTAGCGAGCATCTACCGTAACCCCTCTCGTGTGCGTCCGTTCCGAGGGCTCAGCGTCTACCTGAATACGTGCGGCTAGAATCGTTCTCACGGTCGCTCAATTTCCGCCTCACCCAGGGCTAAGCTAACGCTATCAGGTCAACATAAATCCGTTCGATTGGCCAGTGTTCCAATCCGTTACCGTAGGCGTGCTCCAACCGTGCCAGCGACAATTAGGCATCTACGCAATCCAATCAGTGGCGTCCCTCAAGTATAATAAGAATCAAGAGGTTCCGAAGAGAACAGCGGTAACGGAAAAGAATGCCTGTAGCTCGACGGGTAGATAAAGATGTTCGGTTGTACTTCGAGCTGTTTGTGTTGGCTGCCAGACTAGGCAACAGCATCAGTGCAGGTTTCCAGAGAAGTTTACAGCTAAAACAGAGCTCGTAGAACAACCACATATCTTTAACAACTCGGCTTGTCAAAATGGACGCATCGAATAGTTGGAAACACAGATCAAATAGAGGAGGATGCGGGCACGCACCTTAGCAGCATAAATCGGATCACCTGATAACTCCGAGAGGTATTTGAACTCCATGTGCAGTGTCCCGGCCTCTGCCAAAATGGAGCATTTGTCACGACTCCAGACAAACATGCGGCATGTGGAACTGTGGAAACGGGACAATGAGGGGTGGACAGAAAATCAAGGAGAACATCACAATGGAAATGAGATACACTTGATGTCTCAGGAGAAGTGGTAGAGACACAAGAATATCTGCGGTTGCCAAGCAAACGTTAGGGTGTGAAACTAAATGTGACATGTAGTTAAGTTAAATGACGACAGATAGACATTGGTTAGTCGAGATGTTGATAATCATATTGGTACCATCCCGTGTGTACGATGCTATAGAACTTTTTCAACGCGAAAAATCGCACAACCAAGTCAAAGAACATGACATAGATGGATAGAAAAGTTTCAAGCCCATAACGCAGTTAGTTTTGGCGGCAAGTTAGAAGAAACTGGTCGTAGACAACAACTAGTACAGAATTGCATACTATTGAATCCGGTTCGTATTGTTAAGTACTCAGGACCTAAATGAAGATTTCGGAGATACAAGAGGTTTAATCAAAGGTCACAATGGAAGCGATAAAGAAGAGTGTGAAGATAAGATACAAAAAAGGCAGAAGTATCAGCTTATGGTAATAGGACAATGGGTTCTGACACGAGAATGTTTAATCACCGCATACCTCTTTGTCACATCAATACAGGTTAGCTGAGGGTGATAAACACGCTACAGCTAATGTACCGCAATACAGAAAAATGATACTAAGAAAGCACAAAAAAATTCAAAAAGAAAGTAACTTAATGTTAAACGTCGTATTATTAATTTGCTATGAGATGGTGCTTGGAGAGGGAATCCAAAGCAGAGGGGGAGGGAAAAAGAAAGTCACAACAGAAACGCCATTGGAGCCAGCGGCTCCTAACCATCTCAACAAATGTGAACAACGAAACGTGTTCATCGTCCTTAGAACCCCGGCTCCGCAGTCGAGACGCAACAACCGACGCCAACTTCGAAGTATAGGCTTTCATTTCTCTCTACCAAGTCAGCCCTTGGCCTTCCCTCCTTCTATTCCATCCAGACCACGGGCGCGCAAACAACGCAAGTCGCGGGAGTCGATGTGCTGGCATGCGTACTACGTGGCTTAGCTATCGGAGCTTGGTGTGTGATATAATGGTGCTGAGCCGTTCACACGCTCTTCCTGCACCAAATACGCGACGCCGAACACATTCAATGCTCACGTGGTGCTCCCACCAGACATGAGCTAAGTTGCGAAAGCAGCGGTGGTCGAAGGTAACTAACCTGTGTATGTCTGTCAACTTGATGGGTCAAGTTTCACAACTGTGTAGAAGGGTTGAACGGACGGCGCATTGTAGACTCGGCCCTTCAGGGTGAGAGTGATGTCGCGTCGGCGCCACGGGTGACAGAGAGTGGTAAAAGCATCATGAGCCTTTGATATACGGTTAGTGACCTCATCTGCAATCCCACAGGCGTTAATATAACTGCCCAGGTACTTGAATTCCTGAACCGAACGTCAATGCAGAGGTAGGTCCCTGGCAATCTTGGAGAAGGACATTGCATTTCGAGGGAGCAAAGCATAGTCCAAAACAATTGATATCCAGTGCTAATTCTGTCCAGTGTTACTTGACACATTTGGAGACTGTCAATACCATTTTGTCGCTAAAACACCTAACAATCCACAGGCAACATAGTTGAGTGAAACTCAGTTAAACAAGTGCTTTGAATCCAGCTAACACGAATAGTACCGCCATGAAAATAAAGGAAAACACAGAATACAAAGCAAGGGAGGTTAGGAAAGAAAGATGAGTAAAAAATGAAGCGAGTGTGAACATTCAAAACTAGATGACAGTAACCGAAGGTAGGAGCGCCATCAAGTGCGCGAAAGCGCGATTTCAAGTGACGTCGATCATGGGGCCCCACCGACGAAAAGCCCAGTGACAGCCTAACCAAATCATTCACTCAACTAATTCATGTGTTTCTGGCCGTGTCGCCAATTGAACATCCCGTGATCTGACCCAATCGGACGCAACAACCACACGCAATGCATGCAGATACATGCGATCAGACGGTGCACGGAAAGCATGGGAGAGAGAACATAGCCGGTGCAAGTTTTGTAGATACAACAGTGTGATATCTTCCTATCACCAACTGAAGGCGATCCAAACTGTTCGCTCGATACTCACTAAGTAAGGCTTATACCGGGCACTCGAAGTGTGGATCCCAAAGGCACATGAAGAAATTGATCTATGCAATGTAAACGGTGTATACATTGTAAATGGTCAGGAGCAATGGCGGCTGCATTGTGAGGTCAGAATTACTCAGCCAGGGGGCACAGTAGATACGAGCAATACATCGTAAGCGCATGGCGTGAAAAACAGTTGATCAGCTGATTGCTTTCGGACGGAGCGGCTAGCCACGGATCCACGCAGTCATCCTGGCTACACTTCAGCGTGGTTCACTAACAACAAATGGACCCATGTCCCGGATACATGCATCGCAGTTAGTTGCTTTAGCATCTTTCGCCATCTGAACGTAAGTTGGCTCTATTCGTTGTTCAACTATCACTATGAATCGGGTCCCGAAGGACCGTGCTGTCTAGCTGATCGATACGGAGATAATTCTCCCTCTTGTGAGTGGGTTCATTCGCCAGCCTCTATAGGGAATAAGCGAAGAAATGGGTCTCTGCATAGTTTCGAGGCAACGACAATGAGGAAAATGCCATCGAAAGTGTCACCAAAGGTTAGCTGTTATCTCAACATTGATGAAGGGTAAGAAAACCAGACGGCCGGTTCATGTCGGGAGTGTGCGATCTACGTGTTCAAGATATGGAGAGCATCAAGAGGACGACGTTACGTCCTACCGATGTTCCATCGTCACGAGACCACTAACAATCGCTCGCGAGGGCGACGGCACTTACACAAGATCAAACTGGTTGTTTGAAAAGTACAAGCAGTACGCCGGCTGTACAGACGCTTCGTAGCCACTCTAGCGCCACCAGTTGCGGGCGGGGCGGGTATGCCGCGAGGCCGCCTGTACCTACGCAGATTGGTAACCGGTGACCTTAGGGTTACAAGGCAGGTGCCTTGTCCTCTCGACCGGCGTGGGATTACAAAGCAGAAGCTTGGACTGATCGGCCACCAGACGAAAAGATGGTCACAGACGACCCACAGAAGAACACGACACAGCTGTCCGATTGAAATGCATGTGAAAAGATGGAAGAACAGGAAACAGACATTTTGCTAGGTAGTGTCATCTCATTAAGAGTAATCGCTATGCAAAACATGGATACGAGAGGAATATTGTGGCCGTTTGACCGGCGAGTGAACAGTACAACGCACTGGTAAACCCCGGTGAGGACAGTTGTGGTAGCAACTCACGTCTGTAAATTTATCAAGCTCATCGGTATGCCGGTCGTAGTGTTGAAAGCGGGTAGAAGCCGTTGAGCTAGTTCGATTGCCTTATCGAGAAACACCTGGAGAATGTAAGGTGGAGTAGAGTAGGAAGCCGTTAAATCCCACAATTGGTGTGATAAGTTGTGCAAGATTAGAAAAACGTCAACAGCCACAAATGGATTCACAAACGTATTGTGGCCAAGTTGAATGAACAAGAAAAACGGTTGGCAGGTTGCGGCGGAGACTAAGTGATTCATTGCATTCCTGTGCACACTCAGACAAATCCTATGAGCCGGACGGATTTGTGTGGTACACAGCAAACGTGTAACAAGATGCATGAAGTGTTACGGGGATGCTGACTGCACATTTTTGAGACGATCGCAATCATGACGATGAGTTAAGAAGAGTTGAGAACACGAAAAACAAGCAGCAGTATACGGACTTTGCTGACAAATACATATGGCAGGAGGAAGAGTCGAATGGGGTAAAGGGAAGAGAGAAATAGCAAAATTATTTAATGAAGCAGGAGCGTTGTATCAACGGTGAAAACTGGAGTGTACTGCAAATTGCCAGGAGGTGTTAAACTGGTTTTGCAGCAACGCCGGCGGCTTAGTGACACTTTGAGGTCACCGGTGAATATCATGACAACAGAACAGGGACAAATACATTGGAAACCTAGATAGGAATGGCGCTTCTCGCTTTCTCGGATAGATGATTAGCGTATACGGCACATTCACGAAAACAGTGACCATCTTAGGATCACTCTTTCATTTCTGGCTGAAATACTGCGTTTGATGATTATACAATTTCTATCCATTCCGTTCGAAAATCATAGTAATAAGAACTGTGGAGACAGTTTATGCAACCATTGCTGCTAACTAGAGTGGAAGGAGGTTGGTGAGGGTTACAAGAGAAGCGGCACGGATGTCAATTTACATACTTGCGAACACGACGGGTACACCTCGAACTCTCTCATACCTTGATGGCTTTGATGTGACACGTATCCCGCAATGGAGCAGTGGAGGTGCTTTTGTAAGTGTCGCCACTGAGTTACGCTCCGTCCTAAAGGATTGCTCCCAAAGAAAGAGAAACGATAAGCACCTGTTTTGGAACGCAGTGTGGCACAACAGTCACCAATTGGCCAGCTATAGAGGTTGGGTATGGGAGGGCCTTGCCAGATCGGTCAGGCGAGTTCTATTACCAGTCGCCAAGCAACAGTACTGTAAAATACCGAATATAAGCCCGCCATGATAGGCCGACAGTATAACTTCGCGATATCAAATTCGCCTAAAGTCGTAAGTTGTAATTTTAAGGGAGTCATCACAGTAGTTCCCAAGCTACATAGCACAGCCTAGTGCGGTAAAGTACCAAACGCATTTCACACTACTGGGGCTCGTCAGTGGTGCGCATTCCCTCGGTCCCTTACTTGGGATCGAACCCATAACCGCTAGAGGCAAATGCCAATTAGCCAGCAGCTTAAGCCACTGAGCAATGAGAGACACTGGCTGAGCTACATAATTTGCAAGCTAACTGGGATATAGTAACACCTATCTTCTACTGTCACTGACAGTGGTTAGCCTGCGAGGTGATGACGTCCTCCCACTAGACGCCATATCCATGGCATTTGAACCTAGGGGAGGCTATTTAATGTTGTATTACTTGTAAGTAGCAGGATGTTAGTTGTAATTTTGGGGTATTCATTCCAGTGGTTCACAAAGCTACAAAGCACCGGTCCCCCATGGCTCAGTGGCGCAAGCTGCTGGCTAGTTGGTCTCCGCCGCCAGTGGTCATGGGTCCGATCCCCAGTAGGGGACCGAGAGAATGCACACAACTGACAAGCCCCAATAGGGCGAAACACGTATGATGCTTTTCCGGACTAGGTTGTGCTACGTAGCTTGTGAACTACTAGGATGAATACATTAGAATTACAACTAAAGTCCTGCTACTCACGAGTAATATAAAGTCGTAAGTCCCTATGTTAGTCGGCCCCAAGAAATCACCATGATGTTGACATCATCACTACCTGCACTCTCTTGTGTCCAAACGAAACCTGCTCTACTGTTGGCCAGTGGTGGTGACCATAGTGTATAAGCGCTTTTGATTCCCCATCAAAAATAACGCTAACGCGACATGATTCATGGTAGCGTTCGTCACTAGTGGGTAGTGTCATGGCGAGATAGGGGTATATGTGTGCAGTGAATTGGTGGGTGGATTTTACATGTGACTGTCATAAAATTGCGTTTAACCTTATTATAAGCCGACCCCCTAAACGGGAATGAGAAACTATCCAAAAATTATCGGCTTACATCCGGGAATACACAGTAAATGACGATGCATCAAGCACTATATTTGTCGAATCAGACTGGATGATCAACAGCAGACCACTGAATTGGGACTCGAACGATCCACCGAATATTAGCCCTGACGATCTAACGGCCCTACGACTCAACGCTTCAGTATTATCAGCAAAATCGTTAACAGGTGGATATAACCAGTGCTGGAAACGGTGGATTGGGGAATACTTACCGTTACTACAATACAGATCAAGATGGTTAGACCAGAGTAACAATTTTGTACGCGGGGACGTAGTGTAACTCCAGTCCGATACATCTTAGCGAGGTGGATGACCGTTAGGAGTATCTGACAATTACTTAACTTTGGAAGATGGCCTCAATAGGGTGGTAATAGTAAGAACGGCGAAGGGATTATATGAAAAGAGAACACGGAAAGTCTGTTTGGCATGGTAGAGAAAGTGGTTTAGATGAGGAAGTAGTTCCGACCGTTGAATCCCCGCAAGAGCGAGACGGGTCTGCGAATCTCCTAATTCAGCGAGGATCACTGTGAGCTGAAAGGGCCGAAGTGGGGGGTGGAAGATTCAGACATGATATCGTAAGCCCTGAATCTGCCCATAGTTAATGGATTGAATGTAGGAGGGACTAGAAGAAATACCGCATTGTTGTCAACCCATGAAAATTCAGTATCGAATTTCGAGACATGCGGACGCTGCGATTACAAATCTCTCCAAAAGCTACGCTCCAAACTTGTAAACCCTGTCCAGCAGGCATAATCACCAAATCCTATATCTAAACCTCCGTTCCAGCATTCGCATACCGTGCAATTGCCAATGAACTTAATGCTCAGTTCGTTGTATCTTTCAATGACTTCCCACCACATCTACGTTCCACACCGATTATTGGATGCCGACCCAGTATTCCGCATCGATCAATAGTAGCTGTCTACCCTATCGTCTGCACCTCAGTGCGGAATGTTTTGAGCAGACCGACCTCACTCCTCTTCAGCAGTCACTCAGCAATCTTCCTACTCGTGCAATTAACAAATTGCGTATAGCAATTGAAGCACACGGCTGGTACTCCAAATCCAACTTTGAATCTAGTACCGCTGTGCTAAGCGTTGCTTACGAATCTCAGTGGTATAGTGGTCAAGACGTTAGACGTCAACCACTAGTCCCGAGTTCCACCCCAGCTCAGGCTATTTGCATCTAATGAGTCCAGACAAGGACGAAATTGGTTATGGAATGTCAGTGTTGGGAGCAGCAACACCGAAACACATTCAGTTCGGACACGGTCCTTAAGTTCGTAATGACCGAGGTCTACATCAAAGTGAACCAAGGTCCCAATAGAGATTGTGTGTCGCAAACCAACCACACAGCGGGTGGTACAAATCCAACTTCAAATCCTATCATTCTGTTTGGCGCATAAGGACGTCGTGCATTGTGGTTCTGTCACTTGATACCCGATCACTCTGAAGTCCAGCTTGTTGCCACTCGGACCAAAGCGCCTTCCACCGTAACTGTTTGAAATTGGAAGCGTCAGTGTTCAGACATGCACTTCTAGTGCTTACTTATCGGTTTGTAAATGGGACCATCATCCAATTCTGGCTTCGAAGCTATTTGAACCCGGCCGAAACGCCTTATTCGGACGTTCAAAGCGAATTTTGCCACTTACACCATGTTCAAACAGTCATGTTCAACCCGTTTTTTGGTATAGCTGATCATAAACGACTCTGTACTCAACGTATTCAACAGCGACATTTCTGTAAGGCAACCAAGTGATAAACCTTGAGAGTGCGAATGACACAACACTCTTTGAGTCGAACCCAGCGCTTAGGCAAGCGACACTGAAAAAGCTGACATACAGCATGGCACGACTCGGCATGTTACGAATCTGCGAAATCCAAAGTACAGTTTCAACAGCGGACAATCAATGGAGGTGGTGGATCGGTTCACTTGTGTCAGTAGCTGTGCAACCTATGAGGAAGCTGTATTGCCTAACAGTAAGGACAGCGTGGCTTTCCAGAGTCAACCATCTATGGAGAAGGTGAAAAACCAGGTTGTAAGTGAAAGTTGGGGCGCACAGCGCTGCGATAAGTTAGCCGCTGTTGCGTGGATAATAGCAATGGTCAGTTCATGGCGAGATAAAATGCCTGTCCGCATTTAATAATCGATGCCTGTGGAGTATTATCCACATCTGATGGGAACAGTGGGTGAGCAATCGAGGGACCATCAGCTGGTGTTCGGAAAGATATCCTTTGGAAGAACACAATAACATTTTACACGCATGTTAGCGCATTGTACCAAGCTTTTAGCGTGGCACATTTTCGAAATCGCGTGCAGTGCTTTCAAGTTAGCGAGGCTAAGAACGCTGTTTTGGCGTCGTTGACACTCTCATTGGTCATGGGACGTTAGCCAATGGGACACCGGTTGGAAGCCCCCAGCATAAGCGACAGACAGTCCAATGAAAGTGGTCGAGCACCACCTTCTGTTCTATTTTGATGCCTATCTGAAGGAAACCTCGATGATTGGTCTCCAAACTGAAACCGTCCAATGGGCAACTTGTGATGCCTGTCTAAGGAGGAGATCCTAGCTACCACATGATCCGAAGCTTAAGACGTAACCAGTGCGGACAGACATACTAACCAGCACATGAAGCGGTCTATAGTGATCGCTAGCGGCTACCTGGTGGTGGCTTATTCAGCGGCCTAACCATGGTGGCGTAGACAGGCAATCTTCTAACTGGTATTCCGCAGTTCAGCAATGGCTGCTAGGCGGTTATACAATTTTGTGCGATTGTTATTGCGACGATCATGGGGGACATTGTTCCCATTGAAGTTGGTAGACCAACCTGAAGCTGAACAACGAAAGTTCTATGTTTGCTTACTTCTATCACAGTTGATGACTAAACACAAACTAAGAGGATTCCAAGTGTGGCGTTGACACGACGTTAGTGAGTGTTCGTTT